CCCTGTTGACCGATCACACCCGCCGTGAGTCCTATGTATTGATCATGTAGACAGAACATTCCGTTCAGCATAAAAACAAAGGCCTTATAATTGTTATGTAACAAGTCAGCCAAAAATCGATTAAATGATAGGTTATTTTTGCTTACAAGGTCATTATAACGACGATAGAAGTTTGCGAAATGCCGACTTTAAAGGAGGTTGTTGAAGTCTCTGTAACATCAACTTATCAGTGAGTAGCCTGCCTCGCTTTAAAAATTGACCGTACTTAGAGCAAGCTCTTTAGTAGCAAATAAGTTTGGAGACATTAACATCACAAGCAGGTGATAGTGGTATATTACTATACAATTAAGGAAAGCTGACGATTGAATAGCTGAAGTCATCTCGTTTGTCATACAATTTAGTTGTTAGTTGGCACTTAAGCTTACCGTCTATAGTCATTAAAACATCTAAATATGAAACAGAATGTGGTGTGGCAAACTCTAGGCAAACCCACATATAAATGAAAATAACTATTATTAATTGATAAAACATGATCGACATATCTATATGTTGAATTGATTGCTATAGCAAGTGTTTTCCTATTCTCTTGTGCACGTTTTTGAATAAATTCTACTTAATAGGAATTGAAAACACAGTAAGTATCCATCGAATTCCCAAAAATTTGTGGAAAACTTGGTCTATACATATTTTTCAATTAATATGCAAAGATTTGGTGTTTTCCGATGATCTTTAAAAAAAAATATACTGCTTAAATATTTAGATAAAACATGCTTTATGAAGCATGTTGCTTTTTCGCACCTTAACATTACAAAACATTTAATTAAAAATTACAATTTTGCAGCACATAAAGATATATGATATTTCACCTGTCGCTAAAATATTCATGAAACGCCATTTAGTGAGATTTTTTTTTTTAAATTAAAGCTATATATGGCGTTTCTGAGCTAAAAATAAAAATACGAGCTTGAGTGAAGATAAACATGATAAATGTTATTTGCGTTCAAATTTAAATTTAAATTTACAACGATTTTTAACTTGAATAACCTCACGTTTTTATAGTCAAATTGACCTTAAATTGTGTCTGATATTTAAATGCGGAGTCGGTAGATAAGTCGGCTATTGTTTTAAGTTTCTAATATCTTTGAAACGTGATTGATTTAAATTGTGTTATTTACAGGAAAGTCCTATCTTTATATAAACTAATAAAACAAATAGAAAGATCTTTTTAATTTTATTTAGTTCGAACGTATAAAAAATACGCCATATATGACTTTCAATTAGAGGAGATAATACTGTTTTATAGCAAATTATAGAAGAACAATGCGTAAAAACAAAGCCAAGGATTGTAACGTCATTGAACGTCATGGAGCACCGAGCTATTAAAAGAACTTATGTGTGCAGTGTTACAACGCACTTTGAAAAATTACGCATTTTGAAAAAAAATTTTCAAAGTGCGTTAATTTTGGGACCACGTTAAGGCACTTTGAAAAAAAAAATATTTCTTTTCAAAGTGCGTTAATATCGACCATATTAACGCACTTTGAAAAAAAAATTGTGCACGGCTTGGTCAATGTTCTTGCAAATTTTAGGTATGATAAATAATTATTTGAAACTGGTTGGATAACTTTTCGGTGATGACGTCAGCATCTGAGATATAGACGTTTTAAAGATTTTTAGGAGTTGTCTTGTTTCCAAAGGTTCTTGTAACTGTTATAAAAGGGGAAATGGGTCCTAGGAATAATGGAGGAATGATTTTTTAATAGCACAGTTTCGTTTCTTTTTTTCTTTTCTTTTTTAAATTTTACCCAGTCTCTAATAAGTTCGGTAGATGTAGGTGTCGAGAAGTGACTTAAAGCATCGCATTTTTCTTAGGGAAAAGGGAGCAATCATGATTTTTCCATTACATGAAAATTCTCTCTCTCTCTCTCTCTTTCTCTCTCTCATCTATTTTCTATCATATTCATCTATCTATCTATTGTGAACATATATGAAACAATGGTTGACTCATTTATTTGATAGTAAGAAAATAAACCTTGGCAACATTACTCACTCGACTGAAATTTTTACCTCGTTCACTAATACCTTTTTCTCAAAAATTTATGCAGTCAGATTACTTCGAAAAGTGTAATTTGATATCATAAAAACGCTAGACATGTCAAATAGCGTGTTTTAATTACCATGTAAAAGCATTTTTTCTGAGGAATCATTGTGGATATATTTTTGAATAAAGGTTATGCGGCTTTCTTCTTTAATATAATAGGGTTCGTATTTTTTTTTTTCAGGGAAGCTTATCTCAATTTTTTCATCTATTTTACGTTAACTCAAATTTATTGAGAGAAATAATATCAATGTCACACCAGTTACGTAAATACATATATTTGTGTACGAAAGATAGAGAGTTGGGCTGAGGGCCTTTCTACCTGCCATCTCCTCATTCTCGATGAGGGTAGATCAATTCATCAGTTTTTCGGAAGAAATGTAACAAATTAATGCTGTCTATTATTAAAATCTATGTCCACAATTTTTGATTTATACGTATTTTTTCAAAGTGCGTTGAGTGTCTCCATGGTAAAAAAATGTTGATGTACACTCCTAACGCACTTTGAAAAAAAATTTCAAAGTGCGTTGATTTAGTCCAAAATTTAACGCACTTTGAAAAAAAAATTTCAAAGTGCGTTGATTTTGTCCCAATTTTAACGCACTTTGAAAAATGTTTTCAAAGTGTGTAATTTTTTCAAAGTGCGTTGCCACAGTGCAGACAGGAAAATATCCGAAAAAGACTAAAATGTTTTTTTATGGTGCTGGGCATTGTCTTCACGTATCTACTATCAAAGCGTTCTAGTGGTAGCTTGGTAACAAACAGAGACATCTGGCTAGAATTGTTTTTATTCAGGCAAAACAATTGTAATAAAGGAGAAAACGCCCTAATATTTAAATAATATATATTATTTCAATGCTCTTTTACCCCCCCCCCCCCCCTTTCCTTATGACAAAGATCACTTCTTTGCAACGGTTATGAAAAGCAAACTCATTTTACGCAATTTATAATCCTTTTGTGAATAAGTATGCATTAATTTTGAATTTGAGACGAAAAAACAACAAAAGTTCAACGCGCAAGATCATTACATACAGTTAAACTTTTGCCATATTTTTAGAAATCCGTGTTCACCGCGAACACACCAGTCAAACAGTGTCGCCAATATTTTCCGTACTGGAGACGGATTTTTTATGAAACTTGTTTTATTACATTAAATGTTTATTACAGATCGGGAACATAGTGTTATACTGGCTAGCAAATATTTTAATCTGAATTGCAGGTGTCATAGCAGTATTTCAGTTGAGGTTCACGTCAAAACATGGTTGATGCAAAATAATTTCCCCTCCCGATTCGGGCATTTTGGCGCGAGACGGAAGCCGAATTTTTTATGAGATGAAAAACAATATGCGAACTTCCTGTATTGACCAGATTCGTTATAATTGAAGGCGTGCTGATTTTTTTATATATTGTATTTTAGTGGGGAGTGGTTGGGTCCTGAACTTGATTTTTAAGCACCTGCTCGACTTCGACCGAAACAAACTTTCGTACCTTGCTGGTTGGCTATGTATTTTTGGGTACTAAAATCTTTATAAAGAATTGTTTTACAAGATCTGAAAAGGAAACCTCTCAAAACATTGTTTTAAATTCAGTCTACCCACTCAAAGTTACGCATTTTTGGTAAGAATATACATGATACTGTTGCGCAAATGGACCTGATTTTTTACATACTAATAATAATAAACAAAAGAGTAAAATTTTATTAGACATAAGTCTTCTTCAAAGTACACAATATGTTTTCTGTAAATTAGTTTCTCTGGGAACTTTTCTAACAACCCCGTAGTTAAAATGATATTTAAAGAAATTGTAATGCCTGGAAAAAGTGAAAAACCCCAAATTTTTGGCTTTGCAATATTCATGGCATTTCCATAAAAATTTACTAGTGCTTCATACACGCTCTAATGTTTTACTCTAACGTTTTACAAAGAATTTTATAGATGCATCAAATATCATCTATTAACTTTTAAACACCTTAGTTTATCCTTTGCCTTTGCATTCTTTGTAATAATACATCGTTACGGTAGTAATCTTCTACAGACACACACACCAAGAAGTCTTTTTCCTCATGGTAACAGATTTTTAAATTATTTTTTCCAGATCATGATGTTCTATGCATATTTAAGAAATTTTGGCACATGTTGGCGGCTACTGATAGAAAGGGGAAATAGGTCAACATATGTTTAATGTTTTTACAAAGGTAATTTAACTGTCTTAACAGACTGGTATATTCCTGAGTTTTGCAATAGGATTGCTAGAAAAAATATTTTCCCAACATACATTTCGGAGAATCTCCTCTTTCGTTTTTGTACTAAATTAGACTACGGAATGTTCCGTCTCCCTGATCAGTACATATGGCTCACGGCGGGTGTGATCGGTCAACAGGGGATGCTTACTTCTCCTAGGCACCTGATCACACGTTTGGATTTTCGGGGGTCGATATTTATGTCCTGATCATAGAATTATATTATAAGTAGTTTTTATGAGATCTATAGCTGTTCATTATCCTCACCATTATCATGTTTTACTTAATAAAGTATCCCAAACACCACTCCCCTCAAAAACACTCAAACCATAAAAAAAGCTTTATTTTAATATTAATGTCAACTTGACTTTGATAACACCCACACTATCAATCGTCCTAAAATACGAAGGAAGAAAGGCGTCGTTATGAATGAAAACAGAATATTTGAAGAATGCAATGTATAATTGTACCCAAAGAACCTAGGTGAAAAAAGAAACATATTTACATCAACACGACAAAGCACCTGAGCCTTTATAAAAACCTGCTACTTGCTGCGTCAAGAATAAAGAGATGACAGCTCAGCGAAGCCTTCTTTGTTGCTGCTTTCTATTTAAATACGAACACTTCGCAGTGGATGGTCTGCTCGCAACGTATAGGAAACAAGATGACTAGCTACGCATGCGTTTTCCTTTTCCCGCTCTTTCTCAGCCTCGTTTTGAAAGAAGCCAGACCAACTGAGACAGACATTCTTGTGTTACCCGCCAAAGTTTTCCGTGAGACGTTCGGAACTCTGCAGAGTGACAAAGAGAAGACAGAAAGAACTAAATGGTGAGTATTGCTTGCTTTTAACAATCTCATTTAAAGTCAGTATTTCGTTAATTCTATGGTCGTTATAGTGATCTTGTTAGCAAATATAACCTATCATTGGGTTTTATTTTGACAGACTTGTTTCATACTAATTTTAGGCCTTTGTTTTTATACTGAATATGACTACGAAATGTTCCGTCTACCTGATCAATACATACAGTCTCAAAGCAGGTACGACCGATCACAGGGGATGCTTACTCCTCCGAGGCACCTGATCCCACCTCTGGAATTTCCAGGGGTCCGTGTTTTATGCTCTCTCTATATATTTGTATTGTTATTGATTTTTTGAGACTTATTACTGTGCGTTATCTAACCTTTTATATCATATTAATTAATTCATGCTTACATTTATTTTTCTTTGCGTAGTTTTAAAACTTAGTAGATAAAACGTGTCAACTTTGAAATATTATTGACATAATAATTCGTGCATAAGTACTTCTATTCTAAAAGTTAGCAATAAAAGATATAGCTTTTTGATCACCTCATACTTTAGAGATCTAGCTTTCACAACCACAATAAAAAAGGAATCAAATTCACTTTACATGTAAGAAATGGTTTCTATTAAACGCTCGCTATTTCATCTAAAACAATTTCTAATTCATGTGATCTTATTTTAGTAGGTTTCATAAATCTTTGTCTTTGTGTAATTTTCTGAAAACTAAAAATGAATATTTTATTTTCCTAAGCAGATTTGTACAAATTCATTTTTTATTTCTATTTCCCCCTATAAAATAAACTTTTCTAAAGCAGAAAAATGAAAGTTACTGTTCTTATCATAAATTCTTCCAAATATACAAATTCTTGAACACCATTAAACACATTTATCAACAATTTTATATAACATGAATGACAAACACGAGGATATACATGTACAAAGCAAACAAATACGTCAGTCAGGTAACAGGTATACAAATTGTTACATTAAATGACTGATCTGATCTGAAGAATTCAACAGCACGAAATCATCTGAAATACTATCTGCGAAGACTATAAGTTTTACACAGTACCTTAAACTTAGTAATAAATATAAAGCTTATACACACAAAAAACTCTTGTTATTTATATATCATACCGAGATTAACATATGGACCTTATTGATAAGTATAAAGGTCTCATGATATGCATTAAATACATACGGGACGCCCACTGTAAGTGGATGACACAGGGATTAAGTGCTCGGAAACACTGGGTAATGTTGAAATTTTACTTAAAGTAACACATATACAATTAGATTAACGTTATCAGTAGTAAAACTCTATTTAAGATCTATCGTATTCCGCGTGGTGGTGTTCGTAGCGTTGGTTGCAGTGATGGGATGTTTGGGGAGATACTGATTTTCAATCAAAAAACGCTCTTTCTTAAATTAATTCCCTCCCTTTTGTCACCCACAGGAAGCGGGAAAACCATGAGAAGGGCACAAAAATGCGATGTATTTGTCCTTATAACAAACAAAGCGAATGCGCATGCGTAAAGGTAGAGACAGAGCTGAGTCGATATCCAGCAAAAAGGGATAGACCTCAAAGAATGATACCTCTTGTTGATGAAAGAAGCCAAGGAACGTGGTCTGTTTCCAATCAAATGTCACGTGAAAGACAGGAAGTGCCAGAGATAATTCGAAGTCAGTTTCCGGGTAGCATCATCACAATGTTTTACAACCTCGCGCAGAACAACACAGCGCAAAGATCCGCCGCCATTGAGGAGGCCAGACGAATTCAGCGTTTTAAAACAGAAGGTTAATCTAAATGTGACAGACGTTACAACCCGGAACATTAATGGAAGAAAAAAGAGATTTAAAATGAAACATGTCACCAACAGCATAAAAAGAGGAAAAATATACTTGTAAAGAAGTCATTCTCTTTTTTCATTTGGTGCTAGGAAAGAGCTAACTTTATGACACTTTTTACACTATTGAAAGGAGATGGGTGAACATGACGAGCGATAAGCCTATAGTGTGACAAACATGAAGATGAAAAATTAAATTTCTATTATATCAAAATTTTCCTTGATATTTCGTCTAACATTAAAATATACTTTATGTAAAATCTCTACAATTTGCAAAAATCCCTCAAAGTTTGAAATTATTTGCCTGTGAAATATTATACACACACTAAAGCGGGCAAAAAGAGTCATTTTTGCATACTATAACACTATTTTTCGATATGAGTGGGTCTTCGCTCCACCTTTTTGAAAGTTAATCCTCAAAGTTTGCATAAAAATATACATTTTTTGCTTACCAAAAATATGGAGCAATGACCCACTATACCTTAAAAATATACTTTTATGACATAACATTCGCATCTTTTCGAGAAATACTTGAAGTCCATTAAGTCAAGGGCCATATCACAAACATGATTTAAATGCCACTGTTCGTCAGGACTTGTGTAGTCTAGTGGTTAGCGTGCTAGTCTCGAAAGAAAATGATTCTCAGGATTTTTATTGCTAGGGTTCGAACCCCACGAATACCACATTAATTTTTTTAATAAAAGAATAAATTTTGCCGAGAAAATTTTCCTCAGAAAAGTTTTGTTTATCACAATTACATAAATTTCAATAATGAGAACTTTACTCTAAATATTAAATTCACAAATTGAACAAGATTTTTATATTTCTGAAGCTATAGGCTTTCTGCACGCTATGTTCGCCCATCTCCTTATATAAAATAATAATAATAATTCAAAAAATTGAGAATTACACTGCACGTCATTTACTTACTCAGTGTCAATTAACATGTACGGTAGTAATTATTTATCTCCCAGAAAAAATGAATTATACTCACAAAATAAATTAATCACAAATCGAGTTATACATGATTTAAGGACAAACCACTGGATAGAAAGTCTATAAATCTTATTGATTTACCGTATAAAGTGGGTTCATTTCTGGATATTACAAATGTCTAATAATTTGGTTTCATTTAAAATACATCTTCAGAATATCCTTTTTTACTCTGTATATCTTATAATGTTTTCTAATTGCTATTGAATTTGGTCAAGAGAGTTCAATAAACTATGTTCATACCATGTGTAGCAAAAGATGTTCAGCCGGACTGTTTTTACATGTTAATTCTAAAAATTCTATGGAAGGCTGACATGAAGACATGATACTTTAAAGCTTCAAAGAAAAAAGTGTATCAATTCATAAAAAAAATAGAATTAAATGTAAATATCTAATAATTTGAGAGTATCGTCTTTGAATATATGTATTTTCAGGTTAAATATGTGTAAGCCCCTCAAGTAAACCGGGCAGCAAGCGTTTCATTCAAGCAGGTTTTCTGTTTATTTGCATCTTCTGTGATTTCACAAGAATTTGTAGTTGCTTTATAAATCTAATACCAGGTAGTTGTAAGGTGTAATAAATGTATCTCTCTCTCTCTCTCTCGTTAAATAAAATATATAACATTGTATTTTTTTAGTTAAAGATACAGCTTAACTTTTTTCTAAAATCAAGTTGTCAATTTCTCCTGCTTTTAAATATTTCGAGACATGGGGTGTAGAGGTAATTTATTAACTAAACATCCCTTATTGTTAATCTTCAGTAAAGATCGATGTGAATGCCTATATACCGTAGCATTGAAAAATGAAACTGTACTAAATTGCATAAAAATAGAAAGTTTACTGAATTAATATTAATTATATAACTCTGAGATTATTGATCAAAGACGCCTTCTGAATTCTGAACTTGCAATTTTGTTTGTTCTGCGCACAATTTTCTGAAATATTATATACTGTAAATTTTTCAAATGTTCAGAGACATGTAATTGTATAGTTAATTTGTAAACGTAAGCAAAAGAAAACTGAAGTACCAATGATTTATCATGTAAATTTAAGACTTTTTATCAAAAATGTCCTTAATATATTAAACTTACCGTCCTGTTTGTTCTATGTACAAACTTTCTACTTGACAAGCTACATTTGTTTCTGCTATACATTTGAATAAATACATTGCAAATAAAAAAAGATGTTTCTCATTACATTAAATGAAACATTAAATACTCCATTGTATGGAAGGATATTTTGTAATCAATGAACAAAACATAGTCATGCAACGCGTTTCTGAGGCACGTCTCCATTTTATTACGTCATGCCCTGAGATATACTCCTCTCAGACAGACAAACAGACCGACAGACAACGGCCCACCATTGATATCTTTTATCATTGGATTAAATTCTAACATTCTTTCTGTTTTGTTTTCTATGTTTGGCGTGTTTTGAATAAGATGAACGTTAAAAATATTAGAATTAATAATACAATAAATTACAATAATACACAATGATAAATAGTACATTCTACAATAATCTAACACAATATACATAAACAATACATGCAATATTAAATTAACTAGAGCCGAGCTCGTTGCAGTGCAACGAATAGGTCTTCCGTCGGAGCTCCGGACAGGACAGAGCGACCTTGAGTCAAGGTCATGCAATATCTTAAGGTTATAAACAATCCTGTAAGGGGTATCAACTTGCAATGTTTCAACAGTAGAAAGACAGTAAAGGAATGTAAAATTCCCCTGTCAGTGAACTTGAACTTGTCCAAGATTATAGATTTTTTTGTTTGTTTTTTTTTTTTTGTATGTTGTTTAACGTCCCTCTCGAGATTTTTTTCAATCATGGGGAGATGCCATGGAGATCTGCAAATTTTGAACTATACTCAGCACTCATTGCCATTGAGCAGTGAGGGATCTTTTTCGTGCCAGCACCTTCTGCCAGACGGGACCTCGGTTTATACGGTCTCATCCGAAGGACCCGTCTCTGCGTCCCACAGTGGGATTCGAACCTGCGACGTAAGGATCAACTCCTTACTCCACGACTCTAGAGCAGACACTCTTACCACTGCGCCACGTGGGCGACTAGACCTTTTTGAATTTTACACTTATTATATCAGTGACCTTGAACTTGACTAAATGACCTATGTTAAGGTCAAAAACAACCTTTGAACAAATTATGAGCTTCCAGTGATACTCAATGACAAAAGGTATACCTGAAAAAGAATATTGCACTTTTCTGTCAGTGACCTTGAACTTGCCAGAAAGACATAGGATCAAGGTCAAAACATATCCTTGGATCATAAGCAATCTCTGTATCAAGTAAAAGCTTCCAGTGATTTTATATTACAAAGTTATAGCATGGAAAAAAATTAATATTTATCTGCCAGTGACCTTGAACTTGCGGGAAAAACCTTTGTTATAGGTCAGGAAAAACCCATCTTAAGCAATCTGAGAAAAAGTTTCCTGTGTTCCTCCCACCCCTTATAAATTTATAATCCAGGCACAAATTTTTGCAACTTTTTCTGCCAGTCTAGTACAATGTTATCTCAAACCGGTGGATCATAAGCAATCTTTGTTCCAATTATGAGCTTCCAAAGTTATAGCACATACAATAATCTTACACTTTTCTGTCAGTGACCTTGAACTTACAGGAATGACCTTGGATGAAGGTCGTGGCAAATCCTTTTGTCATAAGCAGTTCCTGTATCAAGTATGAACTTGCAGTGACTCTCTATTACAAATAAATGGGTCGGACAAAACTTTGCTATTTTTTCCAGTGACCTTGAACTTGCTGGAATGATGTTGGATCAAATCCATGACATACCCTTGGATCATTAGTAATCTTTGTACCAAGTATGACCTTCCAGTTTCTTCATAAAGTTATATCCTTGGCAAATTATCACGTACAGACGGACAGCTAGGCAGAGGGACAGTGTGATTCCAAAAGACTCAAAACACCCCCACCCCAAGCCCACACACTTCGTTTGGGGGATATATAAATTCCTATGTTAAATTATGAATACTCTTTCCGGCCCAAACCTTCTCCCTGGAATCAAGATTTGAAAAAAAAATGAATGTATACTATGTTGGAAATTTTCTCATTGTAGTCTAGGGGTTCTTGGGAATACTATTTCAAATAACCCCATGTGCAGATCAAGAGGGGGTTGGGGGGGGGGGGCAGTTAAATGTATATACTTAACCAAGTAAAAGTGACCATGACCCCCCCCCCCCTAGAAAATGCGGACCCTTCCTCGATAACGCGGATCTGTGTTAAAATGGTATGAAAAGTCTTAGGTATGAAGCTTTAAAAGTCAACGACCCCCCCCCCCCCAACATACACACAAAATAGGTTTTTCACGTTTGGGAAAAGTTTCTTTTTTTTTTTGGCTCGTCATGAATTTTCTGGGTTGAAATATTTTTTTATTGGGATCCCCTTCTGTTAAAAGAGGATGTGACCCGTCATTTGAACAAAACTTTACCAAAAATATTCTGTAATTTTCGTTGTTATGGCCCAGTGGTTCTTGATAAGATAAAAATGAGAAAAATTTACAAGTACATATCCATAGCTTTAGAACGACAACGACGATAACGCTTATATACACCAAGAAAACAAACAAAGATGAAGAATTATGAACAGGAAAGCTTACTTGGGTCTTTGACTTGGGAGATAAGATACTTATTAAAAATTGAAATTATTTTGTCATTTCTTTTACGATCGACGGGCCTGCATTTCAAATAGAGAGAGAGAGAGAGAGAGAGAGAGAGAGAGAGAGAGAATTTCTAGCTAGGTCTTTGAATAACATTCAGTGACATCGGTTCAGAAAACCAGGTCCTTAGGAATGTACATGTATATAAAATAGGCAGTGCCTTTCTCTCGGAATTCATCACCTGCTTCTGTAAAGCTCTATCCTCACTTGTACTTACATGTACCTGGTAAAACCAACCGACTGCGAAGGAAAACATTCTAGGCCTATTTATTTCGGGGATGGGTGTATACGTATAGTGATGAGAGGAAATTTATTCACCTATACGTTCATTAAATATGAAAGATTGTTTCTGAGTATTTGTGTACGATCGTACG